GCACACGTGTCCATTCGAAAAGAATGCGATAAAGTAACAACGTTATGTAGTTCGATTAAATAGAATAATTTCAATATTGACGAGAAAACAATACAAAAACAATGGTAGGAAGTTCCACGAAAGTTAAGAATGAGTCATAAAATAACAGATGTTAAATTTGTAATTTGTTTTGTCATTTGTTCCTCCTAAATAATATAAATAAATAAAGTTCGACTCTCGCTTATAGAGGTTTCTGTTTCTCGCTAATAGAGGTTTTGGGAGCTTAAAATGACGGGTCCTGGCTATTACTCTCACTAGAGTTTTCTCACTTATCCAGTTCTCACTTACCCAGGTTTGACTGTATATGTGTATGTGTATGTATATATATGTATATGTGTGTGTGTATATATATATGTATAATATTTCCCTTAACTATTTTGATTTACTTGTATATTCAGCACCGTTATTACTAGTTTTAAGATACTCCTGTAAAAAAACTCTCCACGAGACAGGCAGTGCCTAGTGTGGAGAGTTTTTAGCAAACTATTATGTGTAAATGTATCAAGGTTAATAAATAAATTATAAATTATTATTATTATTATTATCTACTATATCAAGCTACATCAAAGACTTGTATTCAAGAGTTGTATCTCAAGGAAATAGGCAAGGTGGTGATACTTACTCGCGCGGACCAGTAATAACGCAAATTATAATTTTGCGGGTTTGATTTTTATTAGACGCTGTTATTCCTTTACCGTGGAAGTCATTCGTAGACATTTGTTAAGTACTTTTGCATCTTTAAAATAATGTTCGTTTGTAATTAGCATTAGCAATTATTTAGCATTTACTATTAATATTTCAACAAAACAGTAATCTAATGTACATTTTAATTCAATTAGTATATATTATATTAGGACAACTTTTTTAATTGTTCTGTTGTTTGGATCCGGTTTTGTCTGGACACTGCAAACTGTTTACAGTATCGTTTGTTTTATAAAATCAATTTATGGATCGATTGATTGATACGCGTACTGTATTTAAACTATAGTTTCCTTCACGAAGACAAACTTAAGCATTATAAAATTCTATGTTTCTCGTCCAAACGATTTTCCTGTTCGAATTCGCTTTGGTGTAACGCCCATGTATTTCTTGTGCAGAATGCTAAAGTGCGTCATTAGTAAACACGAAACATTGCACAAATAGATTACGTGGTTATTCAATCAAAATCCAATTAATGTTGTAATGATGGTCATTATATTAGTTCAGTCATTATGTATTCCGTTCTGGGTTCTTAAGTTTGGTACGGTTCGATGTATTTTTATATATTTATTGTTCTGCTCCTTAGACTCCCGTATAGCTTCTTCAAACGAGGCTTGTAGGGAGTATTAAGCGGTAGACAGCGGCTTGGCTCTGCCCTGGCATTTGAAGTCCATGGGCGACGGTATCCACTCACCATAACATGGGCCATGTACTCGTCTGCCTACAAGGGCAATAAAAAAAAAATACCTCATACCTCCAACACGTCTAAAAGAGTCGCGTTGATAAGTTTGCGCCGTGCTCTGACCAAAGACACGAACGAATCAGCCCGCTGAATTTCTCGCCCAGATCATCCATCCGCCAAAATCAATAGTTACATCCCCAAAAAAAAAAAACCAAGACCAAAGATAAGGTCACCACCAAAGATAAGGTCAGGACCAAAGATAAGACTCACTGTCTGTGAGTTCCTGTAATTATTTAATCTAGAAAATGGATCGCTGACCCTGCTAAAGGAATTACAAGGAAAATTACATTTTATATTGTATCACTCGCCGACTGCACCATTTCGATCTCCCATAGATTTTTTATTGGATGTTTAGTGGATTTTGTGCATCAACAAAACCCAGCCCACTGAGTTTCTCGCCGGATCTTCTCAGTGGGTCGAGTTTCCGATCCGGTAGTAGATTCTGCGACGCATTGCTCTTGCTAGGGTCAGTGTTAGCATCACTCCGGTTTGAGCCCCGTGAGCTCACCTACTAGTTAAGGTTACGCTGAAATAGCCTCTCAAGGCTATCAGCTTAGGTAGGAAAAAAAAACAAAACATAATTTTTAAAATGTTTTTGAAACGTGTCTTTCAATGCACAAGGATGGTCGCTGTTCTACTGCAAGGTTTTGCAAATGCCCGAACGGCAATAATATAGGTTGGAGTTAGTTAAATTATCGCTCAATCATGAAAATATTTCTTTAGGTCCATCAACTTTCTTAGAAGAAAAGTTTTATTTACTTTTTACCGTTAAAGCTATTTACAGAGTTGCGGGGTGCACGTCCGATAATATGTGCTACAAAATACTACGTTAATAGAATGTTGGACTATTTTAGATGCGACAATCACGTTTTTACCCCGTGACTATTATGTAAAGGTGCGTATTGCTATACGGCTCACGGTTTTGGCAGCAGCTACTATAAATTTTTGGCTTGATGCCTCGATAAGATACATTGATAGGGGTTATCATATGATAAACAAAGGTTTGGATGCGTTTCACCAGTACAATGGTTATAGTTTTTCTAATCTTAGATTAGTAAAATCGTAGGACTGTTTTAGCTCATCGTTATTAATGCCACAATTGCCGTTAACTTTTAGTATGCCAAACTAATTTTGATTACGTATAGATCAACAAGAGAAAGTGTCGAAATAGCGACCTCCCGATACTTGCGTTCAATTGCTGGACTATTATCGGGTTTTATTATACCAATCGGTTTTATCGAAAGAAAAGGAAAAAAAAACAGTAGGTAGGTATGCAATTATTCGGAGTTCAATAACCCATTCACAGTTTGATAAACAGTTAGGTAACTATGTATCTTTTGTAGTCTTTATTGACTTTTAAACTAGGTATATTTCGTGGTATCGAATTGTGTCAGCATTTATTACTTCGGTGATACTAAACATGACAATGTATATTCATTCCTTTTTTTATTACCAAACGTTACCTCGTTTGCCTTCATAAAGTTAATGACTTAGTTAATTATCGTGAAATGAGAAATGCTTGTTTAACTTGTTCAAATGTTTCTATGTAGTTTATTATTAGTTTATACTTGTTTTGGCTGACGTAATTTTAGGATCATACCAATGCCATATATTTTTCAATACAGTAACATCCGTTCATAACCGATCAATGAACAATTATAAATGACGTATCTCTTTATCCACTCGACATTGGGGGAATAAATGTCCGTGGTTATTTCCATAATAATGGAAACACTTGAATAATAAAAAATAATATGGTCAAATGTATACATCAATTATCATAAACCGATATTTTTGTACGTTCTGTGTAGTCAAAGTTGATTAGGCATACAACAGTGATGTGTTGTTGATAAAAAAAACAGTGACCTCTTTATCGTTATGACGAAAGGGGCCATAACTAACGAAGGCATTTTTCATGCCATGGTTATTTTAACACAAGTGGCTAAAATGCAACTGGGCCTTTTTAATTGTCTCTGTAGACAGAGGGACATGTTTGTGAGTGTTGGTTCACGGACGTCAGCAGTTCTCGAGGCACAGACAAGCCGCTAACAGCTAAAAACTCTTCCAATTAAATATGAAGAACATGCGCGCAGAATCACCATAAACGTCTAAGTTTTTTGTTTTTGGAAATTACCTGATTTCCGCCAGCAGTTTATGAGCGATAGACTGGGCATGTCGTAATTAAACCGATTAAAATCTCCTATCTCTCAATAACCCGAGGCTCAGACCAGACAAATTCACCCGAGACGGGCTGTTGGCACGGTTACCGACGCATGTCTCCCCACCATCAGTATAATTCTATTCACATTTACTCAGCACAAAAGTTACTTTATAATGGCCTTATTTAGACGTACCCAGTTCCTAAGCCGCTTTTTTTGATCGTATGAAATCTGTTCATTAATATCCATGTATTAACATAAAATATAATTAATAAGTTTGGAATTTTTTTAATATTAATATTAAAAAAAAAACCTTAAGTTATTAGTTACCGGTGTATTAACTTGAAATATAAGAAATAAGTTCAGAATTTTTTGAATAGTAATATAAAAAAAAAAACCTTAAGTTATTAGTTACCGGTATGTGAAATAGTGAACTTATTGTTAATTCTCTTGCTAGGGCAGATGTTAGCAAAGTCGCCAGGTTAATTCCCGTGAGCCATACTAGCATAACCCTTCGAGATTACTAGCATTAGATGGGCAAAAAATAATAATGTTGATTCATATTGTCATCAAAGAACTAGATCGTAGAACAATATTTTTGTAATACTTGGTGCGAATACGTGGTTTATTCTACCGAATTAATTCTACAGACAACCTTATTTATTGAGGTCATTCTCGTTTTCTCCCCTTTGTTTTAAATTGAAGGTTTTTGTAGTTAATTTCGTTATTACGTGCGTATAAGTGCTGATTCAATAATTGTTATTTAAGTTTCTTTAGGTCAAATGCTGTGTGCTGGAATACTTTCCTTATTATGGCAGCTACTTTTGAGAGATATTATATAATGATTTTAACGAACAAATGATTTTATAATCATTATGCTCTTAAAAACCATCAACGTAAAGGATATATTTTACTATTTTTTTCTTCTGTCCAGTCGACATGAGGTTTTACTGGTGGTAGGACCTCTTGTGAGTCCGCGCGGGTAGGTACCACCACCCTGCCTATTTCTGCAATGAAGCAGTAATGCGTTTCGGTTTGAAGGGTGGGGCAGCCGTTGTAACTATACTGAGATCTTAGAACTTATATCTCAAGGTGGGTGGCGCATTTACGTCGTAGATGTCTATGGGCTCCGGTAACCACTTAACACCAGGTGGGCTGTGAGCTTGTCCAACCATCTAAGCAATAACAAAAAAAAGGGTGAATGTCTCAATTGTAGCCTATAGTTGTTTTATTAGTTGAGTGTATAGCACTCCTAAATAGTTTATCAGCATAAAGTTTAATAAGAGGCAGTTGTATGTGAAATGCAATAATGAAATTGTTAATTGTGTAGTTAATAATTAATCTTTTCTAATTGTTTACAGTTATTTGGTGTCGGGTGACGCGGACGGGAAATGCTACATTTGGGATTGGAAGACTACGAAACTTTATAAGAAGTGGAAAGCTCACGACGGAGTTTGCATAACCTCGCTGTGGCACCCACACGAGCCCAGCAAGCTGCTTACCGCGGGCTGGGACGGGGCCATCAAATACTGGGACTGAATAAAACAATCAAAACCATTGCCATGCATTTAATTTTTTTTTCCCTAACCATCAACCATAATTCAAATAAATAAAAATTTCGCTAGTTCAAGGTCAAGGTCAAGGTCTAGGCGACTTGCATCGGGTATTTGAGGGGCTCCTCATAGCCGATGTCCACCTTGTACTCCATGCTGCATTCGCGGCAAGTGCCGTTTATCATAAACTCACTGAAGCGTATGTTATTCTCATGGAATGATTCAATGAGTGCCGTGATCAGGTTGTCTATCATTTCGGGCGTGTGGTAGGGGCCCGGCGCGAACCGCAGCCGCTCATCGCCGCGCGCCACCGTGGGATAGTTGATAGCCTGCACGTAGTGGCCCCTCTTCATTAGAGATTCAGCAACGAGGGCCACTTTATCGGCCCCTTTGATAGGAACGGGCACTATGTGACTCACGGATGGTAACTGTGGCAAACCGGCCACGAGCAATGACAGTTTCAAATAGCGCACTATGGCCTGGTGCTTAGCTCGTAGATTCCGTCCTTCTTCACTAGCTAAAAGCCTTATAGCTGCCAGGGAGCCAGCCAGAACTGGTGGCGGTAATGCTGTAGTAAAAATGAAACCCGGTGCTAGAGACCTTATAGTGTCCACGAGGAGGGAGGAACCTGCGATATATCCTCCGACATTACCATAAGCCTTTCCCAGTGTCCCCGATACAATGTCTAGTTTGTCTTGCAAACCTCTCTCTTCTCCTATGCCCGCACCATGTTTTCCATACAAGCCAACAGCATGCACTTCATCAACAAAAGTTAAAGCTCCATAATCATGTGCTATATTGCACATTTCTTCTAAAGGACATATAGCACCACTCATGGAATGAACAGTTTCAAATACAACTAGCTTTGGTACACCTTTGGGAGAGTCGGCCAATAACTTCCGTAGGTGGTTTGGATCGTTGTGCCTGAAGATATGCTTAGGGGCTCGGCTGTTCCGGATTCCTTGTATCATAGAAGCGTGGTTTCCTGCATCCGAGTAAACTATGCAATCAGGCAGTATTTTTGCTAATGTAGATAAAGTAGCGTCGTTAGCTACAAAGCAAGAACTAAATATTAATGCTGCAGGCTTCTTATGCAGTTTTGCAATTTCTCCTTCAAGCTTCTCAGTCATCTGGGAGTTTCCAGCAATATTCCTTGTACCACCTGCTCCTGTTCCATAGGATTTGATAGCGTTGACAGCAGCATCCTGCACAGTTGGGTGACGGGACGTCCCTAAGTAGTCGTTGGCACACCAGACAGTTACTCTACGATTTTCAGGCCCCTCCAGGGCTTTCGGATATACTCCATCAGCAGCCAGACGAGACACCTTTCTAAAAACGCGATAGGAGTAGTCCCTTTTTTTAGCGTTGATCTGGTCGTGGAAAAAGTTCTCGTAGTGGTACGGAGTCGCAGGTTCGGCGATGTCCTCGGTCATTTCCTTAGGAGCTTCCGAAATGATAGAGTTTTGCTGAATGAAGGGGCATTTGGTTTCGTCATTTCCCAAAGAACGAAATCCACGAGATATAATCGGGCAATAATTTCCGTACTGCTTCATCAGGGTCGCACCATAATTTTTCACGAACGCTTGGTTCAACGATCCCAAAAACGGACAAGGCATTTTACGATTTTTATGTAATCGATGACACAAAACACTTATGAAACTTGTTGAAGTTGGAGATAATTTATTTAAGAATAACTAAACGTTGGCTCTCACTGTAGCCGAACGTTCCACTGTGGTCTGTGACCGATCAACTGGGAGCTCAGCTGACAGCGACTTTCATTTATAAAGTTTGTGTCGTCATATCGATTTGAACGTACTTTTGCTGAGCTCCCGCAGTCATACACACTACAAAATTTATTTTGATTTGATTTCGTAAGCTTAGTGTTGCCAAATAGCTAATGTCATTTGGAATTAAATATCAACAATATTGAACGATTTAATTGTATTAAAAGTATATTAAGAAGAAATTTATTTAATAATTGCATTACTTTTATCCATGATAATTCTTAACTTGTTTTGTAATTCAGTAAAATTTAGTTTTAGTTGTAATTTATGAAACTTAAATTCACAATCGACTAAATAGATTGTGATGCTGAATGAAGTTTTGACAGTATAGTTTTATTTTTCCAACTGGAAAAGCAAAGGTGTAATACCATACAGTCTAATTTCATATATATATTTATGCATTTTCACAAATACTAAACAGTTAATAAATCATCGTTACACATTTAAACCTGAATAAATATTAAATAGACAAAAAAAAACAAATCATACAAGTTCACTCTTCGTGTTCTCGCCAAAAAGTCCTGTCAATTCAGTCTTAATGCATAGATAATACACAATATTTCTAATGCCGACCACTCACATGCGGGCAAATATTCGTACATTGTACGAATGTTTGCGCGCATGTGAAGGGCCGTCAAACATTCATTCGCAAACTTAGCAGCTGTGCAAATGGGTTCGCATACTCAATTTGCGAACCCGTTTGCGCTTCCTCCTACACTTGTTTACGAATGTCTCACGAATTTCTCCTCCTTTTTAATTCGTCAATAGAACATTGAAAAGAAAAAGATTTTTGAATTCTTTACCAGACATCATTAACAGCCATGCTGTTTTTATGGGATTTCTTTTGATGAAGATACGCTACACAGTAGACGTCACGAACTATGAAAATGGCGATACGTCTGTTACCTTCGCAATCGTCGGCGCAACTGGGCAAGCGAATGTGTGGGAGACTACGCGAAGGTTCGAGGTTCGCGCGCTTTGATGTCTGTTAAAAAACCGACACAGCTTGGAAAACCACGAATGCAGCGAAAACTTTGCATAATCATTTGCAAATGTCGTCCTACACTTGCGGGTTTGCGTATTCGTGCACATGTGAGTGACCGGTGTAATGCCAATGTGAAAATCTGGGACTTTTTGGCGGTGGTTTATCAACTGTTTAGTATCTGTGAAATTGCACAAATGTGGGAAAATAAAATAAAGCTGCTGGACGTAACTTCTCGGGATCCTCCAAAAAGTCCACTGAAAGAGTCTCAGTAAATGACCACCATTTTACCGAGATTATATTTCATCCCGTATCTTCGCATCACAATTCATTTCATATTATCGTGTTTCATATTAAATAAAATAAATGAATATATATAATAGATTGAGCTGTATGTTATGACATCCTTACCTTTCCAGTTGGAAAAATAAAACTCCTACTACTACTGAATTGACAGACCAAGATAAATTGAAATGAAGTCACACATGTGACAAATGGAAACAAACTGACAACTTAAAAGTTAAACAATAAATAGTGTTAGTAATAAATAGTATTATAGATAAACTAAAATGTTTGCGTTTAATACTCAATTAGAATTACGTCGAATAACAATATCAAGCCTTATTACATGTATTTACTTGCCTAGTATTGTGACTGTCATATCGTATAGAGGGTCGCTCTACTATGTGGGCAAAGGATCTTCTTTTTATATTTTGGTACTAATATTCATTGCCGAATTACTGAAGTCGTTTTATCTTAGCGCCCCGAATGATATACAAGGAAAGAAAGGCAAGACCAGTAAAACGAAAGCAAGCGACGTCCTCAAATCGTTTGTGTTTCTCCTTGGTGTTAACTTTTGTTTCTTTATTGGAATAATACTTTTTGGCGCGCCTGTATTAGACTTACATGAAGAAACATTGATGTTATCCACGCTCTTAACCATACTCACAATATTTCCCCTCATACTTCATTCTGGTGTGGAATGTTCTATGCAACTATTGTTTGGCGTGAAGAGCTTTGCCAGGGACACAGTGGTCGAGATGCTAGTGAATAACGCCATGCTTACCGTATGCGGCGCATGGCTGGGGGCTGTAGTGATACCCCTGGACTGGAATACTCCATGGCAGCAGTGGCCGATACCTTGCTACCTTGGAGCTATAGGTGGTTACTTGCTGGCTAATGTATTGACAGTATTCAAAGCAACCTTAATGACAGCGGCCTACAAATATCCAGCAGTCAATTTCCTAGTTATGATATTGAATAAACTAAGAGTTTCGAAGTAACTAATTGGGCTTTAATTATGTTTAAAATTATAATTTTTAATTTATATGGTAAACATGTATCATGTTTGAAATTACTATCGTTTTTTTACAAGTTTATTTTGTTCATATCATTGTTTAAAATAAATGTTTTAATCTAACTTTGTAGTTTTAAATTATTTCAATTGTGATCCATAAATTGACCATATAGTTGAAATACCCTTTTTTTACAAAACTCAATATCACTAATGAGGTAACTTATTTGTATTACTTGTTCTTAATGTTTAAAAAATTGACCCGATAACAAGTACTACTACTAGCTAAGAGTCTTTTTTAAATTAGGATTTGATAATAAAAACATTTTATCAGCTGAATTGTTTTATATTTTCAAGTAAGTGCCATGTTAATCTAGATAATTAGATATAAAAAAAAGATTATAACAATGAAATGGAAGGTTTTACTGTCTTGGCAGGGGATTGAGGCCACGGCTCACCAAGTTCATTTACTATGGTATATGGCCCATAGACATTGTGAATTATTTTTCAAGTAGACATGAGTTCTAAGTCTCAACTGTATAGTAATAAGTGTTATGGTGTACCAGTTCAAACCGGAACGCATAGTTTCTACATGGCAGAAATAGGCAGGATTGTGGTAATTGCCGAAGCCAGGTAGAAATCAGTAATTTGGCAAATATTTTTTGAGGAGGAAACTTTCCTAAACATTTGTTACGTACGTATTTCATTAGAAAATTATCTACCTGCTGGTTTTGAGCACCAACATGGTATAATCGATTGATACTAGTACAACGGGCGTTTTATGCGTCGGTCGCGTCTTTAATTTAGGTGTTTCATTTTAAAAGCCAGAAACGTTACCCAAAAATCAATTTAAAATTGATTAAAAAAACATATACAATCTCCCGTCTAGGTCTGTTTAGGTTATATGTTTAGTGTCTAAAAAACATCATCCCAACTCTTTCCTTGGTGGTATTCAAAGGTCTTAGCCGTCTTTTGAATGGGCAGTAGCGCTCTCTAAGTATTATACCAGCGCGCTGCGATCGCTAAGTGGCACTGCTCGTACCAGTAAGTCCACCATCCTCCCTATTTTTGCTACCCAGCAGTAATGCGATCCAGTTTGAAAAATAGGGGGCGCCTTAATGCAATAAAATTGGAAGTTCGACCTCGGTTCTTAAAGTTTATGGGCTTCGGTAACCACTAAACTCCAGGCGGACAGTGAGATCGATCAACGCAATAAAAATTAAATTTAAATCTATCCATGCGCTGTGGTGACCTGTTCTAATAGGGGGATATAAATATCTGAATATACCAATAAAATCATATAAGTATCGATGAATATACTGCATGAACTTCATTGGACACCGTGTAAGCGGCAAATGAACTCAACAATGATTAAAGGTACGTAGAAGGAAGGAAATTAATAAAATACTTTTATACAAAAAAGAAAAAAAATAGTTCGCGTGCAATTTGGTGCACGTGAAAGAAGTAAAACTTCTTTTGCGGGGTGTGCTATTGTGTGTGTTTTTTTCATTTTTCATCCTTAAATCAAATTTCTCTTGTAATAGGGATTGCTGTCTATAAAAGACACGATCTAGTTCGCTTTGTCAGGGGGAGGGTGAAGAGAGATGTGCTCCGCATTAGACAATTCACTTTCCCCACTTTGCCTTTTCATGAGTTCTGTCTCATGCGAGGTTCGGACGTGGGTTTTTGAGCGACAGGAGGTTTTAGTCAGTTCGACTACGATATGCACCGCCCTCCATCCGGCCCTGCGGCGGAAGTCCGGCGATTTCCTCCTGACCAAAAAAAAAAGGTAGTTTTGTCACTATCGCTCTCCTAAATTGTATCTTTTCTCTCTAGACGTAACGAATCTGTCGCGAGTTAAATTTAACTCAATGCGCCTAAAGAAGTTTCACTCTAATTAATCGTACTGCAAAACCGCTACGATCAGTCATTGCTTGCGAAATGTAAAAAAAATTTTTGTTTCCCACCACCTCGGGTTTTTTTTTTTATTGCTTAGATGGGTGGACGAGCTCAAACGAGCTGGTCTATATAATTTAATATTTAAGAACACTAGTATAACGGCACTAAAAATTACTGTAGACTTCGTCTCACGAAAGAAGTCGCGCAGACGCGGCGCTGCGAGCATGCGATGAAATGTTACCAGCGTTTGCTATTGAATTCCGAAAAATCCCCTAGTTAGAGGACGGAGTGCTAGTGGCAGGTAGTAAATAAAATTGAACAATTCGCTATTTTATGTATACATAACAGAAAGAAAACACTGTAAATAAAATATAATTTTAATTATATTTTAACAACATAATTATGTTCACCGATCGGGTTTATTCCAGACATACAACAGTCACTACCTGAATCATAGTCCATATTACTTTCGTCATCCGACTCTGTTTCATTATCACTTGCTGTTGATATAATAATCCGGTCCATTTCTTCATCCATCAGTCCATCATTCCTAAAATATTCATCCTCTAAATGCTCCAGATGTTTGCACTGAACAAACCAATCTTCTGGAGTCACGCTAGTAAACGCTTCTTCCGTCAATTTTAAGATTTTTTCGGATCCTGATCAACATTTTTCTCAGCCACGCGTCTTTTTACAAGACTCCATATTTTTTCAATTGGATTAAGATCGCAGTGATATGGTGGTAGTCTCAGAATTTCGTGGTTGTAGCTTTTTAAAAGTTCATCTACGGCATAAGTTGGTTGTCCTTTATTTTGTTTAATTAAATCAAATAATACGGCTTTCGTCCAGGTCAGTTCAAAATTAATATTTTTTTCACACAACCACTGTTGCATTTCACTTTTTAAATTTGCCATTTTTGGCGCTTTGTTTAGCTGTGTGCAGTGGTATGGTGCATTGTCCATAACCACAAGTGACTTTTCAGGCAAATTTGGGATTACCTTTTCAGTTATCCACTTTAGAAAATTACCGGAGTTCATAATAATATCGTCATGATAATCTAACGACTTTGACTGGGATTTAAAAATTAATAGAGCATTCTCAACAAAACCATTTTCAGATCCAGCATGAGCAATTATCCACCTACTCCCAACGGACTCGGTAGTGAATAGCCCTGGCACTTCTGCACTTTGCCAACAATTTTTGGCATGATATGTATTATGGATATAGGTTTCATCCAAGAGCACCACGGGTCTTTTCTCTACGGTTCGATTTTTTCTCATCTTTTCTATGTATCTAACGCGCCAAGCAGTTATATCGTACCGTTCCATTAATAACTTCCTTTTTGACTGGCATCGTTTGTATTTAAAACCAATACTTTGCAGTATTCTATGTAGCGTGGCGCGGCTTCCTTCAAACCCAATGTCTTCTTTTAACACTGCGAGTAATTTATTTAAAGTAGGAATTTCTTTTTTTACCGTATAAAACTGGTGTATTTTATGGCGCATAGCACATGGATCGAATCCATCCAAATCAATTTTTTTTGCACGTAGGCGACTCTTCCCTGCTGTGACAATCCTTTTCGAAGTACTAGCCGCTACTTTTCCTTGTGTTATCCTCGAAACTGTTTCTCAGACACACCTGGAATTTTTTTAATAGATATAAAACAAAATAGGCACTTCAGAACTTCCAATAGTGTTGATAAACTTTAATGAAATGTTTAAATCTTAAACAATAATAAAATACTTTAATCTAACAAGTACGAAACCATAAAAAAGTTCCAAATAAAATGGTAAAAATCACATAACTGGTATCCCCAACTAAGTACCTGTCATGACGGCTACTCTCTTACGAACATTGTTTATTGGTATCAAAACCCCCTGATTCTTCTGTTCTGCTTCACAAAACTCCTTCACCTTCAATATTATTTCTCGACCAGCACTTTTTACAACTTTAGGCATCGTAAATAATAGTTTAAATACGACAAATGAATAAAAAACGCAATGGAAACGAACACAACAACAACACTTGACAGCACCTGATACCGACAAACATGGCCGACCTGTCATATTAGTTCCATTTATCGCCGTGAGACTTCTTTCGTGAGACGAAGTCTAATGTCTTTTTCCAGAGGTAGTAATCTAGATACCTAGTTACGTATATTAATATACCTACATTTCTTTCGTAATAAAATGACACTACAAAACGTGCATACGTATAGTTATAACTGCAAGTTTGCTCACGCAAACCCCCCTCGTCCAAATATAATATTGTTACGCCGGCAAGAGTAACGCCATCTATCGCCGAATAGCCGAAACGATTATTAAAGGAACTCGTAACTTCGAGAAAGCTCGAGAAGTACAATGTCATCTATTGTCAGATAGCGGAAACACACATCGAAGCTACTCGACTTGCCCAGAATGTACTCGATAAATCTAGGGATGTGCTTTCGATTATGAAAGCGTTGCAGAGATGGCACGCAGTCAGATAGTAATCGGAACTACTCGAAGCGAAACAGCGAACGGATCACCTGAACTCTGAAGCGAAGCGGAAACAATGATTTGAGAACTGTAAAGTGCTCGTTAAGTGTTAATTTATACTTCGGCAGAATTTTTATTTATCCCGAACCCCCGCGCGTAACAATATATTCTATCCCATTTCTGCAGTGTAGGGTTTTAGGGTCTCCAAGCGCCGATAACCGTTCTCGTCGAAATCAATGTGACGAAGTTTGACGTATAACCAGCCCTTATACATACCCACTGAGTTTCTTGCCGGATCTTCCCAGTGCGTCTCGATTCCGATCCAGTGGTAGATTCGGTAAAGCGAAGCTCTTGCCAGAGCAGATTTCAGCAAATTATTTCAGGCTCTTGAGCTCGTCCACCAGTCAAGATCAAGCCAAAATAACCTTTCAGGCTACTGGCAATTAGGTTTACAAAAAAATACTTAAGTTTTAATATTAATAATCTATTGGTTACCGAGCTAATAGAATAAGTAGCAAGAGCGTGTATGTTCGCGCGTCGAACACGGCGTGGTAACTGTCCTAGGTCTGATCTCAGGATATAAAAAAAACACTGTAATAGTAAATTAATAATTTTATTATTTTAAATATTTACATCATTAAATTTACTGATAAAATACTATATTTGAAACTTAACCATTAATGTAATGATCACATTTTGACATAATTTTTTTTCAATTTAAACTTCCAATAATTCACTCTGATTTTATAATTATTCGAATCTACAATAAATACAAACCGAGTGAACTATTCAAAGTTCATACAATGAACTGCATCTGCAACAACTTGTCACATAAAACTTCAACAGCGATAAAACTTGCAACATAAATATATTTTATCGAAAATATTTAACCCATCTAAGGCCATGTGAATATCACAAGTGAACGAGTACATAATACAAGTGACATTAGTTAATTAAACATTTTGGCTGTTTTGGGTCCGAACACTAACTAGGAAGCATATTTAAGCTACAACATCAAAATAATTAAAATCCCACAACGGACCCTTTAAAGTTAAACATCAGGGAAATATTTAAAACAACAGAAGAATTGTGATTATTTCAAATCATGATCTTTTAATACGTAGTGTAATATTTTATCTATGGAACTATGTAATTAAATTTTTTTATATTGGCAACAATTATTCACACACACACACACACCAATAATACCTTTTATTTTTCGTCATGCATATGATTTAGAGATTAACAATTCTAGACAAGGGGATCATTTTTATGACATAACAATCGAATTATACTATGTCTTTTCATAGCAAATTTTTTACATGAATTTTTTTTGTTTGTCATAAAACATTAAAAAATAACATTTATCTCAATAACAAACAATTATGTATGGATAAAATACAAGCTGGCGCACCAGCGCGACCGCTAAGCGCGTCAATGCTGCACCAAGACGTGGCAGTGTTTTGTACTTGGCAACACTACTTGCAACTCACGAACCAACGCGAACAATGCGAAGTCCGTTGTGCTTTTAAAAAAATCTAAAGGCATTTTACGACAACCACATTCAATTAAGTATTCAACAACATTTTATCAGTTATATTATTCACAATACAAACATCACTAACCTCGTTTGGATATAAGATACATTCAGTCGTACTGAAGGGACAAATGTTCGCAGAGGACTCTGTCACAACATCCGCTTGTTGTAATAATTTGTTAATTCAAGTCAGGCTCCGTTGTTTAAGTTTTAAAGCCTTTGTTCGCTCTTCCTTTTAAACAGTTTATTTGTAATATCTGTGTGGATTTCTTTTGAACACTTATATCAAATAGCATTTCTTAATATTTAAGCCATTCCCAACTAAACATCATGTACACACTAATGATTATAAAGCACCTTTATATTATATTTTTCATTTTGTTACTGAAAATAGTTGAATTATATAATCTGATATTTTCCAATGTACTTGGTTCTGATATTTGATAAATTTCTTTACATAATTTTGTTGCTGCGCTCATTTTGGTTACCCTGTTATGATAGGAGTTAGTGGTTCCAAATAATATTTCAAACTTCGGACAAGTTGCCAGCTATGAGAAAGCCTTTTTTTATATTCATTTATTATCTCTTCTTAATTTGCTTAAGAATGCATATAGAAAATTTGTTTTGAAACAAAAACAATATTGAACAAATTACACAATTTATTCTGTGTGTCGCTTAGGTAGTGGACTTCAGTGTTGCAACATTTAAACATATTTTGCCTCTAATAATTAGAATTTCCGCTATACGTCTTAAAACTAAGTTATGTAAAAATGCACCACTAATACTAAGTAAGTTATACGATAAATACTCAACAATCTTAAAACGTTTATTGTGGAAATATAAACTTAATTGCACCCGGCGACACTAACAACTTTGTACTCAATTATATTATCTGATATATGTTGCTACGTTCCTAATAATTTTATGTAATATTACCGGCCGAAGTGGAAAGTGATAATTGAGTATGATTTATTTCATTCTTTCCCAATTTTTTTAATTAAACAAATATCGCTCTACCGTTGCGAGTAGCACGGCAGACTTTAATTTGTCACTCACCGTAACTCGTGATCCAAGTTACGTACGTTAGAGAAGTATAACAATTTAATTCCCTGTTTACTTACATTTAATTAACGTTAAAATTTCCACAATAAAACTTATAACAGCGGCCTTTCAATACGAGACACATACCGACCAGCCTGTTCCATTACAGACCAGACTTTGACACTGACAGATCGATACGACGCGGTCTCGGTGTTGTCAACGTTCGAAAATTTACTAAGTACAAAATACTAGGTACGTGGAATATGGCGTATATCGAGTGATATTGTTACGTAGCTGATATTCATATGTTATTGAAATAAATGTGTTCTTAGTTGACAGCACCGTAAGGCCATTACTATGAGCTATAACAACGAAAGGCGCGTGTGAAGCGAGCGGGACGAGGGCGGGACGAGAGCGGACATCTTACGTACTAGTCGTGTCCGGCTGGAAATAGTGGAGACCGTTTATCTGCGAAGGAATATATATTTATTTATTTCGTTTTGTAGACGGTCTGCCTCCATGGGATCCGTAGGATAAAGCGACAATCGGTTCTTCATCACTTAGTCGATTCCCACAAACTTGTCAATTAGCCATACATATTATATCATTCTCGTATAATAATTTTATGCTTCTAATTAATAGTCCTGATGTGTACGGCCTGTGTGGTGTCCTAGAATAGGGCCGGTTCGTCTCATCTCGTTAGGACTAAGGGTCTTCATTGGAAACTGGGCAGCAACACAGTACGATGGAGAGTTTACAGCACGGCTCACGGCGTGATGTCTACAGGTTCCGGTAGCCACACTAGATAATCCGTGACCGCGTTCACTCACCCATACCATAAAGAAAGCGATGGCCGCATGTCTTTGTTATTTATTTTAAGTTTAGATCACGGAGATTTGTTCACGTGTGGCACTAACCGTCATGTCGTACTCCGTGACGAAGGCCGGCACCTCGAGCTGGTCGCGCGGCATAACGGAGTACAGGTACTCGACGCCGGGCAGACTGTGGACCTTGGCCTTTATCGCCGGCGCCATGAACGTCGTGAACCACCACGTCATCATCTGGGAGCAAGCAGACGCAGGCTGTTAGGAGCCAGACGCTCATTGCATCTACTGGTGGTAGGACCTCTTGTGAGACTGCACGGGTAGGTGCCTATTTTTGCATCGAAGCAGTAATGCGTTTCGGTTTGAAGGGTGGGGCTGCCGTTGTAACTATACTGAGTTTTTAGAACTCATATCTCGAGGTGGGTGGCGGCATTTGCGTTGTAGATGTCTATGAGCTCCGGTAACCACTTAACACCAGGTGGGCTGTGAGCTCGTCCACCCACCCAAAAAAAGCATCTAAAATTGTTAATATCCTAATGTGTTTGAAGTTGCTTCCAACACAAAGGTCAGCGAGTTTAAAGAGTTTGCGTAACTTTCTTTACAAATCTAGTTTATATTTTATCCTCAAATGTTTTTTAATACATTGCTCTGTGCTCACGGTCTAGCTGATGTCAAGTTGGTAACTGTTAACTCCCACGTGGATTTCACCACGCGAATGCCGCCACTGACGTTTAGACATGAGGTCGAAATATCCCAACCATCCAACCGAAACGGGTAATTGCTTTGCGGCAAAAATGGACGAGATGGTGGTACATGCCTCGGTAGACTTACATTACGCGTTCTACTACCAGCCTTTATATGAACTCTATTTGTTAAGGTGACATTTTATTCGCTGCTGGTAAGGAGTCTTCTGAAAGCGCGGATAGGTATCACCACCCTGCTTAATTCCGCCGCAGTGAGGCTTTTCGCGGTATGAGGCATCCTTTGTAGTGTAGAACTGAGACTTGGAACCCATGTGTCAAGGTGGCTTTTACGTTGTCAATATCTATGGGGTCCACTAGCCATGTCCAGTAACCATTTAAACCTAGGTGGGCCATTCAATAATATCCGAACGGACTCTAGTGGCTCTTTCGTATTTTTTGAGAATAAACAAAGCAGATTGGACCTCAAAACGGGACCACTAGTTTACTTGTCTTAAATTATAATTATTAAAATCACTTCACATTTTTTAATATGCAGGCAGACGAGCATACGGTCCACCTGATGGTGAGTGGTCACCGTCGCTCATGGACGTGACAATGCCAGGGGCAGAGCCGAGCCGCTGCTTACCGTTCAATACTCTCCACAAGCCTCGTTTGAAGAAGGACATGTCATAGCGCTCGGGAAACACCCACCGTTCATGACCAATTGAGAAGTGTTAACAGTTGAGACTTCGAATCTACGTCATTGAACCCCCACCGGGGAGCCTTACTGATGACCCAGCCCACTGAGTTTCTCGCCGGATCTTATCAGTGGGTCGCGTTTCCAATACGGTGGTAGATTTTGCTAGGGTCAGTGTTAGCATCACTCCTGTTTGAGCCCCGCGAGCTCTCCTACTAGCTAAGATTACGCTGAAATAGTCTCTCAAGGCTATCAGTTTAGGTAGGAAAAAAAAGTGGTCTAGCCCAAAATATTTTTTTATTCAAGCTTATATTATGTATATTGGAATTTATTTAAAATATAATAAATTTTGGTGCAAAACCGGCGTATCCATAATTTCATCCATAGATAACAGATGGCTTTGTAAACATTATTTTGGCGGTTATTGTTTTTTTGCATACTCAAATTAAAATTCATGAAAACTTAAACCTCATAGCTCCACAGTAACTATGGTAAGCTTAGGCCGGTTTTGCGTTGACGACCTCATATATATTCATATTAAATTTGAAACTCACCTTAGTCCAGAACGTAGGATGAACAATGTAGAAAGCTTTCAGATTCTTCTTGTATCTGTGAACGTAACATTAGGATTTTTACATTATGCAGTTTCGAAATACGCGACTGTCTGATTCGTTCTGCTTCACGGCAGAAATAGGCAGGGTTGTGGTCGAGGGGTGCCCCGAGGAATTGTTTTTAATTCAATTCACGTAATCTCACTCTTCACGACCGGAGCAGAGCTCGTTCTCACTGTCTATGAACATTCGGTGAACTTATCAAACAGTTCTGACAGCTCTGTCAAGAGTAACCGACTATGATGATGATTTATTTAAACAATTCTGTTAGATTTAGAAACTAGCGTTAATAGGAAGACTGTTCGTCAATCAAGTGCAGAGAGGGCTATTAGAATCAACGTACTTGTAAGGCAGCACCGTGTACACCTCCTTGAGCCACGAGAAGGGAGGATGGTTCGCCGACGAGGCCAGCGTGTGGAAGTACGCGATCACGTAGTCGCCGCGCACGATCGGATCCAGGAGTTTGATCAGGTACAGGAGTGCCTGAAAAAAAATTAACCAACAATCAACATTTTGCGCTCAAAGGACCGAGTACCCGCGGCCTGAAATATATGCTTTGTTAGTTTAGGCCAAAGGTCGAGAAGGCGCGGCTCTTTGACTCCTTTTTTTCCTACTTAAGCTGATGAACTTGAGGGGCCATTTCAGCATAACCCTAACAAGTAAGTGAACTCACGGGGCTGAAATCTAATGAAGTTGCTAACATTAACCCTAGCAAGAGTAGTGCTCCAATCTACCCCCGGATCACAAACGCGACCCACTGAGAAGACCCGGTAAGAAACTCAATGGGCTGTCTCTATGGGTTAAACTCCTCGGCTACGGCTCTTCAGAGAAAAGTTTAGTTTAGGCACGGAATATTACTTATTATCTCGCTTTGTAAGATACAAATAACAGTTTTGAAACACAAGCCTTTAAAAATATAATACGCTAAAAGAAAATGGCTCTTTGAATACTCTTAAATTTCAATTGTGTGTTATGTATATTTGTCTACTTTGGTTGAAAATGTTGCCACACCACTAGGACTTTACACCAGACAATGAAACTGATTTTACGGTTTAATCTCACATTTACCATTTTCATTTTATTATTTAGAACGTTGCGAATAGTTTACAATTTTCGTCGGCGTAGGTAGACATCTAAGATATCGTATTTATCGACATTTGAATATTGTGTTAACTACAGTCTATTTTATCTGTATACACATATTTTTTATATTTCATTTCTTCGCACACAGAAATACTAAAAGTATCTTGAGGTTTCACAGTTTATTTGACTGGGCTTTACAGCTTCACGATAAGAGGATCGTAGATAACACTAAGTAGGGTATTTTAAATGTCGGTAACAAGAAAATAAAAAATAATAAACGCAAGACTGAGCCGTAATGTATGTAGTTTAAAAGATTAAAAAAGACACGCTAAAATAAACATTAAAACCCAATCGAAATTTAATTTCATATTTTTTTTAACACTGTCAACACCAGTCAGGATATTAGAGCTAAGTTATAAAATTATTGTTTTGTTTAAATCTCACATAGGTTAATTCTTTTTAATAATTTACGAAACTATATTTTTCTATTAAAAACAAACAAGAAAAGAACAGAAAAACGAATTGATGGGAAAAATCGATTAAATAAATTCAATTTTAGAAATGCATAGAAACGCGGGCCGCGTCTAGCTCATCCTTGCTCTAGTCTATTCTTTTACTAAGTCAGTTTATGTTCTAACAGCTTACCTTTTCCAAGCCTTACTCTAGTCTATTCTTTAGCTAGGTCAGTTTAGTTTCTAAGATCTTACCTTTTCCAAGTCTATGTCCCCAATGGGGAACCATTTCCCGATGAAGACGACCACGGGCCGACCCAGTCGATCCACGCCGCTCTGATACAGACATCCGATCCCAGATACCTCGCTCAGGTCTTCGGACTTGGCACGCCGCAGCAGTCTTTCATATCTTTAAGAAAAATATATTTACGTGATAATTATTGTTGTTGTTTATACATATTATATAATTTGAAGTAGTTTCCTTTTATTCATCGACAGCTGAAAGGCTATTTGTTTTATGCGACATTTTTGTAATCAAACCCGCAAAATTATAATTTTCGTAATTACTGGTGGTAGGACCTGTTGTGAGTCCGCGCAGTTAGGTACCACCATCCTGTCTATTTCTGCCGTGAAGCAGTCATGCGTTTCGGTTTGAAGGGTGGGGCAGCCGTTGTAACTATACTTGAGACCTTAGAACTTATATCTCAAGGTGGGTGACGCATTTACGTTGTAGATGTCTATGGGCTGCAGTAACCACTTAAGACCAGGTGGGCTGTAAGCTCGTCCACTCATCTAAGCAATAAAAAAATCGTACAAGGTTACCAATCACGGCATACCTCACATCTCAACGTGGATGTTTTGATGTGGCTCCGACAAGTTCATATACCTATACCTTTCCTCATACAGTAAGACAATATTATAATAATAAACCAACAAACGAATCCGATTTGGATTAAAGCCAGCTATGACGTATCAGAAATAATTCAAATATCTTTGTACCTACGTTTATAAATATACTATTGATTGGGGACACAAACTAATTTTAATTCTTAATGACGTTACGGCGAGCGTTCTACGCATTCCACGTATATAAATATATATATATATATATATATAATATTGTAATTTTAAACTTCGCGACTTCCAACAACCGCGTCCTTGGCCTGAAAACTTGTGACTAGAAAACGAAGATCCCTTATATCAACACATTCCCACCTATTTGAGGACAGAACAAGAGATCCAATTATAACGGCGACCGTCAATGTGTGTATTCTATTTTAGTAGTAACTATCAATCAAGTACGTAAATATTTATATGTGTAAATTAACACAGGACTACGTGAAGCTGTTTCATATTATGCCGGTCACGTACTATGAATACGCTTTTTGTAATGCACTATTATTAGAACGAAAACAACATTATACATAATATATTATTAAATTACTTAGTACGTAGTAGTGAGTAAGACATACTTATAAACTTAAACTCGTGAAGTCGTCGTGGCCTAACGGATAAGACGTCCGGTGCATTCGTGTTAAGCGATGCACCGGTGTTCGAATCTCAGGCGGGTACCAGGTTTTTCTAATGAAATACGTACTCAACAAATGTTCACGATTGATTTCCACGATGAAGGAATAACATCGTGTAATAAAAATCAAACCCGCAAAATTATAATTTGCGTAATTACTGGTGGTAGGACCACTTGTGAGTCCGTACGGGTAGGTACCACCACCCCGCATATTTCTGCCGTGAAGCAATAGTGCGTTTCGGTTCGAAGGGTGGGACAGCCGTTGTAACTACTGAGGCCTTAGAACTGATATTTCAAGGTGGGTGGCGCATTTACGTTGTAGATGTCTACAGGCTCCAGTAACCACTTAACACCTGGTGGGCTGTGAGCTCGTTCACCCATCTAAGCAATAAAAAAAATCGTACAAGGATCAAATTGCGACGGAGTAGTCGCATTACCAATACTACGTGTATACTATAAGTACTAAATCCTACGTATCTACATCACTGCATAGTATAAAAAAGTCGCTTTCTCTGTCCCTATATCCCTATGTATGCTTAAATCTTTTGATTATATACACGTGTATATAATCAAAGCTTAAATATTTAAAACTACGCAACGGATTTTGATGCGGGATTTTTTTAACAGTGATTGAAGAGGAAGGTTTATATATATAATAACATCCATTAATTAGTGGAGAAATCAATAATAAATTACAGTTGCCGAAGCAAAGCGAGGGCGGGTCGCTAGTATATTATATAAAGTCGATGTATGTATAGAGCGTGGGGCGTCCTCCAACCAGGTGGAGCGACGACTTAGTGCGCACGGCGGGAAGTCGTTGGATGCGGAAGGCGGAGGACCGCATTATGTGGAAGGCATTGGGGAAGGCCTATGTCCAGCAGTGGGCAGATAAAGGCTGATGATGATGATGATGATGATGATGATGATGATGATGATGATGATGATGATGATGTATGTATGTATGTATGTACGTCTTCTACAGACTCCGAAGCGGTTTGACCGTTTTTAGGTTAGTGCGAGTATTTAACGTTCTCGATAGCGTAAAAGTTAACTCAAATTTGTATGCAGTTGGAACAGCCTTAGTGGCTAACGTAGGTAAACGTTCCAACTCCATACAATTTTGAGTTAACGTTTACGCCATCGAGAACGTTAGAAAACTCACACTAAGCACACAGATTGTACTAGTGTCCTAGCTGATACGTTTGGTAGAGATCGGAAAGTCGAATCAAATATCGGCCAGCGAAGTGAGTCGGGTTTATTTAACTTGTTCTTTATTTATTGTTATTATGTTATTTACACTGAGACTTTTAGCACAATTGTTAACAATAACGCGGCCTAGCTTATTTGTAACCAAAACGAATCGAACTATTCGTTAAAATTCATGAAACAAAATTGCTTTGAGACTGACCTCCGTTTTTTAAACACGTTACACACAGACACTTGACAGAGTTAATCATATCAACTTATTTGTATACTAGCTTTTGCCCACGACTCCGTCCGCGTGGAATAGTTACTTTGGCATAACGCTAAATTTTACCCCCACTTCATTTACGTAGAAAGTGAAAATATTTTTGAATTATATAATGTTAAGGAGCTATTTAAACCCCTATTTTGAAACATTCTTTATTGGTACTCCACTTGTATAGTGCCTTACCGTGATCTTATATAGCCTATAGCCATTTCTCAATAAATGGGCTATCTAACACTGAAAGAATTTTTCAAATCGGACCAGTAGTTCCTGAGATTAGCGCGCTCAAACAAACAAACTCTTCAGCTTTATAATATTCTTAAGCTTACATAGCTTTTATCGCGGGCCTTGAGCGCGGCTTGAGAGGGGAATCATGAAATTCCGTAACGAAAAAAACCTAACGCTCCTCACTCCGCCTACCATATAGCTCGCGTTCAACACATTCACACGTTGCGCTTGTGTAGTGTTTGTTAATAAGCGCGTGGCGTGACGTCACATTGCATGCGCATCATGAAAAGTTTGCCCATCTCTCTCTCACGCGGTCTAGCTTATAAGTGTGAAGGGGAGAGTTTATGTTTTGCTTTTATTAATGTTTAATATATCGTGGTCTTGTTTTATTATTGTTTTAATATTAAATTATCATTGTCTAATTATAATTGCATAAGTTGATAAAAAATGCTATGCAATAGCTTTACCGCGGCAGTTCCCGAGTGCCACACGTTTTTTTGTTTGTATATTAAACTTCACAAATCTAAATTACTCGAATGAGAAGAATGTTCGAGACGGTCGTATAAACCGTATTAATAATTTAACTTGTATACATGCTGATCCGAGTCTACATGACAAGTATTTATACTTGAAGAAGGAACAGAAAAGTACCTAGGTTCCTAAAGCACATCTTCCAGACAATAACTAGATACTAGTGCCCCCTCTGTAGTCGAAATTCGACTATAATTAATTAAAATTAAGTTTGGACATAATTTTGGTTCTATTGTCAAAGACTATACTTCTATATTTCATCATCTATTCTCAATTTGACCACAGACTTTAACAATAAATATATAGGTATGCGTGCCTGTGTCAAATACATGGTAGTGTGTGTGATGTTTTCTTTATTGATTTAAAGATTTTTTTATGCTTAATTAAAAAAATATATTAGCATTCTGGACTTCTTCTCTATGTTCTTTATACGTGTGAGAAATTTTATACTCCTCTGTCCGCGCAATTTTCGTAAAAAGGAGTATAACATTTCTGCTTCACGTATTAATATATAGATATTATAAAAACACCGACCTACCGACCAACTATATTATATATTAAGGCCTCGTAACAAAACAAATAGTGTTATTACATCAAAACCTATTTCGTTTTAGTGTGTGTGTGTGTGTGTGTGTGTTTAAACAGGAAAAACCGTGAAATAAATTAATATTGTTTATCCAATTAATATTTATTTTGTACGAAAATAGAGGTTGTTTTTTTTTAATTCCTGCAATGCGGTCTTTTCTGAGAACGTTTGCTTATTGGTTTACGTAAAGCATTCACGTGTACGTCTTTTTATCTTATCTCTTGTTTTGTCACGGAATTCTGTACTACAATCTTCGCCTTCGTTACCTGGTACATTGAATTTTTTCTCTTACAAAGATTTGGAGTTGAATTCCTTTACACTAATGATATTTTTTGCTATCTAACTAAAACTTGTTTGTATGATAATCTTTCCTGAAGATCTAATTACATAGTTCATACAGCGTACACACAGTTACATAAATGGCGATTGTTAATTATATTTCGTTACTTTTCCTTTGTTTATACAAGGTGGGCCAAAAGAAGTTATCCGATGTTGTTTGGCTCTCATTTTTTTTCTAAATGAAAAACTTCCATTCTGTTTTTTGATTATCTTTATTTGAACCTTTAGAATTTTATTGGTCAAGTCAAGAAGATGATATCGGCCAAATGGGCGCCGTCACGATTGCCTTACGGGCTCGTTTTATGGCATTTTTCATCACTTCGGCAAGAACTTCGGGCGACAGATTCTCGCACTCGTGTCGAATGTTGTTCTTGAAGGGCCTCGAGCTTGTTCACGTAAACTCGGGATTTCAAAAAACGCCACAAAAAAGTCTGGTACAGTTAAATCGGGCGATCTTGCGGGTCAGTGCAAATCGCCAAAACGAGAGATGAGGCGACCCGGGAATGCCGCCTTCAGAATATCGGTTGTGGCTCGCGCAGGATGTGCCATTGCTCCGTCCTGTTGGAACCACATATCCCCCAGTCCTAACTGGCCCTATAGCACGCACCGTCCATTGTTGTCGTTTGACCACTTCGTTCTCGAGATTGAGGATGGCTTGGGCGTAGGTTACACGCGTTTGGCGGTCGACAACCAGCAGCTGATGCACGGACTGGACTTTGTACAGGAACA